TCGAACGGGTGATGCCGATCCGGAAAACATAGCTAATTAATTTCAATCGTTACGCCCACGGATGCGACGAAAAACAGGACGGAATTGAAAATACACAGGTCGCAGTTCGATTCCCCAAAGTTCCGTGTTTAATCTACGGAACACGAGAACCGGCTTCTCGGGTTCCACCCACCGGCATAATTGAAATTGTCCGAAAGTCCTGTCGACGAGTTTCAAGGTGGTCGTTTTTCCACCTTGTCCCCCGGAATCGGATGCGGCGAACTCGTTTTCAGTGAAAACGCAGCAAAATTGCCTTCCGATACACCATCCTCCTCTCCGCAGGCTTTTGTCGATTGTTGGAAAGTTTACCAGTTCGATGAATTTTTGTATCCTCGGCTGTTTCGTCGGAGAGAATTCTGAACCATTGGAGTAGTCAGGTTATCAGTACGAGGGGGGTTCAAAATTTATCTTAAGGTAAATTTCATATTACTTTTTTTCCCTCTCTCTGTGTGTGTGTGTGTGTGTGTGTGTGTGTGTGTGTGTGTGTGGCTAGGGGGCTACGCCTATGCCCACTCTGATTTTGTTTCATTTCGGCTATCAGAGTTAGAACGTAACGGACAACATTCGGGATGCGTCGTTTATCATCGAATAGAAATTCTTGACGCGAGTTAATGAGCCGCGTGGCGTCCCGATGCGTTCGCATTCCGACGAGAATTTATCGCGTTCAACAATGTTGGTGCGCGGTGAAACCTATGCTCCTGCTTCCGAGCTGATATTCCCAGACAGGTGATCCAAAAGGTTGCGAACGGTTTTCTGTTGTTGCAATTGGAGAAGCAAATTGCTATGCAGTTTAACTGATGATACCAGTAATGATACAAATGCGTTACGCATCGAGGTATGCAGAGAAATAACAAAGATGAAGTGTAACAAACGCAGAAATGCTCGAGCAAGTCACAATTAGAGCTGTTATTGAACCTGACCCTGCCAGGCGTGATACGAAACAAGAAAACATAAGAGTCAGAAGAACGAGAACGGAGGAAGTGTTAATAATCAGGAAAGATTGAGTTCACGTGTAAAAATTATTTATGAAAAAATCGAAAGTGGATATGTAATAAGTGAATCGTAACAACGTTGGCAACCTTTCGTCATTTTCTTCTTTTTTTCTCGAGTTGAATTCTTGTCCTCTAGAAAGCTCTGAACGATCCGTCTGATCCTGCGCGCGCAAAGGGAGGTTTTATTAAACCCGGGCGGAATTTTAAGCGGAGTTTAATTAGAACCAATGTAGCGACGATTAAGGTGCGCGGAAATTACAGGGTACCTCGGTCTTCCTTACAATTTTACAACGTAGGAAGAAACTTTTGAACGCAGCGGCAATTTAATCGTAGTTTACGAGGGTCCATTGGATAGATCCTGTGTGGAGTGCGTCGATACATGGTCGACCTACTGCCAGTCGTGACAATTGCAATGACAGTGCCGTAAATTACTGACACACGCCGAAAACGCAATGGGCTGCTCGGCTTGATTAAAACCTCTATTGAATAATTAAATCAATTACAAAAGGGTTTGCTCGCGCGTTGCGTTATCGATTGAATGCCATCATACCGGCGATCCACGAACGCAGATCGCGGTTGTAACACGAGATCAATCAGGATCACAGAGAACTACGCATCAAGAGTAATCCCTTTGGCGGGGAGTCAGATACTTGTTGCTCGCGGATGAACGTGAACGGGAATAAGTTCAAAGCAGATTAACCGTGCGCGCACGGGCCGTGTCGGTTTAATTTCGATTATTGCGAATACACGTTCCGGAGTTTTTGCAACTGAATGCTTTCACGGAAATGAACGAACCGTTAGTACCAATGGTACAGAAGGTATCGTAATTAATTAACGACGCCCAATTAGTGTCTGCGTTGCAAGTATTGCGTTGAAACAGCGACGATTATCCTTAAAACATGGGAACACTGGCCCTGAACAGACGTCAGTATCCGATATACAGGATTTATTAAATTATTACAGCTATTATTATATGAGAATACACAATTTTTACATATACATTATAATATATTACGTATCTCGCTATTTACTCTCTTTTTATCATTTCTCTTTTATACATTCTCTCTTAATTAATATGTATGTTTTGTTTCTCTCTCGTACCATCGGTCTCATACAAAAAAAAATTATTCAATTGTCTGGTCGTTTGGACGACACACACCGCGTTCCTCTTGCTCTCTCTCTCTCTCTCTCTCTCTCTCTCTCTCTCTCTCTCTCTCTCTCTCTTTCTCTCCTCACTTTCTTTATCAAACCTTGGCGAATAAATTAAACCGATCGAGGCGCAATGTACACGTAACAATAGCACTGACTTTGTGCCGTGGCCGCGACTTTACACACTCCCCGCTGTCACGGGACACGTTCGCGCGCAAAATCGAATACTGGGACTACATATACATTAATTGCTGTGGACGAAACAGTTCTTTCATTTTTTCCTCCATTACCATTTTCGTCGCCCCCGCCCCCCCCCCAACTTAATTAGCTAATTATGCCCTGGGCGTAATCATCGCGCGGTTCGACTCCATACACATTGTACAAATCCGCCGCGTGCATACGCGTATCCCTTCTCTATACATATAGGTATCTCTTTATAACCCCCCATGGCTGGGGCGCAGACGCGTCGATAACGTCGACGGAATTCGCAACGGGGTTACACGGATTATTCGGAAAAGAAGAGACTCTCACAGTCAATCGACGCGAGGTACGGTTTTAAACAGCACTAGTACCATTATTGACTCTTCGAAGCAACGTCTCTATTGCAGAATGCACGTGAAATAGACTGCCCGCTCTACTTCAGTTTCTCTTACGCAGAGTCCATCAAGAATTTCTCCTCCAATTCATCAACCACAATGTCGGTATCATACAAAATATATCCGCGCCCTCGAATATAAAATATACTCAGAGACTCGCGATCCTTCACCCTCCCCCCCTCCCCCCATTGCATCTCTAAGTTTGGGGTCAATGTAATGAATTCTTTTGTCACATCAACAGGTTCTTTGGTGACCATGAGCCCGAATTCTTTAGGGGTAGAAATGTGTATAGTTCATAGTGTCTAGTAGCCACAGAGTTATTTAGCTCTTCAAGGACATTCAGGAGCTAACTTCCTTCGCTGCTTTCGTTAAGACTGCACAGTCGCTCCACCTATTGTCTCAATGGAGAAACATGCAGATAGGTAACGATCAGGTAACAATCGAAAGTTCCACATACACGCGACGCAATATCCTTCCGATGACTCCAAACCTACGGACACGACGTTGACTTTCAAGGACAATTTTAAACGCTAACTGGACATTTACTGTGAATTCTGGGATCTGTGGTTCCAATGGTTACTCCGAAGACTATGTTCGTTGCCGCGTGCGCGTACGTCTGTTACTCCCAAATCTCCCAGAAACTTCTCCGCTTGCGAAACAATCGAAGTGAGAGATACTGGCTTTGGTATGATCGGTAATCTGTCTTCTAGATACACTCTGTAAATGCTAAATCGATAAAAAATACTATTCTTCCCTGCCTCCTTGTATGTACATGCGCGCACGGTTAAAACGCCGAGTAGGACACGATCGATATTGTTTCCGACTGATCTATCTATCGCCGTGTGTGCTTCAGAATTGAAGAGAACGACAATCCTATCAAGAAGTTCCGTTGTTTGGTCTGTTAAAATGGACTTTTCGTTCGTTATCGCGACAGAATACGTGGCACACTCTCGAGCGCCACGAAGCTCCCGAGTGGATTCAGAGAAACATTTCTTCGTGTTTAGAGTTGGGGGTGGTGGTGGTGGTGTCTCTTTAAAAGTAACAACTTGTTGACTAGGTCTCTTCAGTTTTGAGCCACCAAGTCGTTTCCTTCTCGGGGATGTACAATTACGTTAACTTGTAAGTTACACTCGTGGACACGACGCGGGGATTACTTTAATTAACGCGCTCGCTGTCGCCACCAGCGTCTCAGAATCGTCGATAAGTTTTTCGATACGGTTACAATTAATTGACAGCGGACGCCTTAACGCTTGTTTCGTGCTAATACAACACAGAGAGTGTTTCTAAGTTGCAGACCAGTGGTCCTCATTGGATCGGCATCTCGAATGATCCAGCGTTGCTGTATCGAATTTCAGCGCGCATGATCGAACAACTCGATGATCAATTTTTTGCCTCTGTAACTCGAGGAGGTATATGAGTAAACATTTCCACGGACTTTCTGTCACGTCAACTTAGAACCTTCGATAGCTTTCAGATCTCCTTGACCAGGGAGGAGATCTAGACATCGTCGGACTTGCTTGACGTCTAAGGAGAATATGAATTGTCCGGTGTTCAAATTATGCAAACAACAGAATATCGTCGAGTCACTAGGTTCTATCTGCCACTTATAGACGACTTTAATGTACCATGTTTCATGTCCCTAAAGACATATTACATTAACCACGTACACCTGGAATGATCCCGTTTTTTCTCTCGATCGCGCTTGGAATTGCTCGATTATCTTTATTTCACGCCATCTCCCGACTAGAGAATCACTCTACGAAACAGAAATTCGGAACGATTCAGGAAAAAACCAATGGTGCTTCGCTGGAGAATCGGCGATGCGGGTTTAACTTATGAAATCGTAACGAACTGGATTCGCGATTATCGGTCCGCACGGTCACTCGAAGTCCCCTCTGAAAAAATGAACATCCAAATGGTAATCCAAGTAATAAGGATGGCACTATATAATATTCCGTTCGGTACAAAATGTGCGACACATAAAAAAGGAATAGAAAATCGTATGATTAGCAAAAAGCCAATGCTTTCTCGATCTCTGTATAAACGTGTAAAAGCTAAAACCGCTGGAATTATTTGTTTTTGTTTACCTAAACCTCCTTGTTTTATAACCAACGCTGCTTAATTTGTCGTTAAGCATGCGACTCAAGAAGTTCACATACGTCTATACAGGTATAATGTATGTATACATTCATATATTATAATATTTAAGTAGGATTCGTTGAATTTGTTGTGATGTTGCAAATGAAATTCGACGCGTGTGTAATTCGATAGTTTCGTTTTAATAGAAAACAAAACAATAACGTACCGAGCGCGTAAAACGTCGAATAAAAATAATAATTATTCGCGGAGATGGTTCTTGCGTCTGTGTTCGAAACTCTCAGCAATGGCTGGTCTCACTGTTTCATGGACTCTTCACCGGTGGAAAGATCGGAAAGTTACAATGATTTCATTTGAACGACGATTTTCAATGAGAATATTCATTCGATATCTTTCAGGCATTTACAATCTAATTCTAATTTCTCGCGACCACGACTCGCCGGAAAACATTACCGTGTCGAGAAACCCCTGGCTGTACCGACTACAAGAAATTCGTTATCTTTAATTTCAATTTGCTTCATTCAAGGATTTCTTCGCCCCTGATGATACAACTATCGGAAAATTAACTGCGGTGACTTTAATTCCTCAGGACTGGAAAAAGAAAACAATAAGGAACGTACAGCCGTGTACCTTTATCCGGAGGATGATCAAAGGGTCTACAACGGAATAAACTATGATAATTCTAGGAAAACAAATAAATAATAGTTCACGATGATTGGCCCTACGTAGACGGCCGTTTTCTATTCTTCGAGTAATCAGCGAACAAGTGTCCACGCGAGCGCGAGCGCGCGCGCGCGTGTGCGTGTGTGTGTGTGTGTGTGTCGGCCTGGACACCCGGGAGAAGTTTATACGATTGATAGGATTAATTTTGCGCGAATCAACGTGTAACATTGACTGCATTACATTATATATGTATAATATGTGTATACTGGCCATGTAACTAAAGTGACAGAAACGTCTGTCGGTTTATAGTCCCGTTCCGAGACTGTCCCGCCTGCCCCAAAATAGTGATCGACGTGAGTCCCGAATGGAAACAGTCTGTCCCATCGAAAGAGATGAACCCGTGCTTTCTCGCCCTGTTCGCAATCGATAGAACTAGAATAAATACGTCATTGGCAAAGGTATTTCTTTCTTTCTTTCTTCTTTTGTATACTCCTCCCTCAACGGTGTGTTCAGTCTTTGATGCCTCGTTACTCGTCACGAAAAAAAAAATGCGTCAAAGCGTAAGTATTCTCCCGTCACGACGGGCAGTGTTCTTCGGTCTTATTACGGGACCGTTTTGTGCAACGATTAGTACCATTCCGAGGGTATACCGTTCGGTGTGTCGGATAGATGCGACAAATAGAAAATAACAAGGGTTTCGTAATTTCGTGTATGGCTGGGAGCAAAGACATTTGATCCCCCTCCCGCCGTCCGATCTCGAATAAACATATCGCGACAAAGTGAATCCCGATCGATTCTCGATCATCTTCCTAAACACTATCTAGTCCGCGAATGGTATCACATTCAGTTGACACCGTTTCTCTCGCGGAAGGACGCGATCGGAACACAACATTTTATAAAATCAGCTTCATCGGCGACGCAGCGTTCTGGAACATTGGACGTATCGCTGTTTCGTACAGAGCAATGGTGTCGGCACGACTTGGTCAGGCCTCCGTCTCGCCCTTCAACCTCAGACGAGCGAAGTCCTCGAAGATTATATCGTCGTCGCCGTCCGCCTCTCTGAAATCATACAGAACGGACAGGAATTTAATACAGAATAAGCCACGAGCGCAACAATCATGCTTCCGTTCAAGAGAAATATTTTCCGTGTATCTAATACCGATACTGTGTGTTTGTGTGTTCAGATCGTCCGGACAAGAGACGCATTGTCAGATGTACAGACGTCATTCACGTCGAAACGATCGAACTCTGTTCATGACTGACGGGAATAGGATTCCATCTACGCTACACGAATATTGATCACGTACGTATCCAGCTGGATGAGGTTCGTGTCGAGCGGTATTTCGCCGCTGTCCGCTTTCTGCGTCGGGCTTGGACGCGCCGTAGACGGCGCCGCTTCCTCTTCTTCCGGTTTCGGGTGCATCAGGATGAACGGCAGCTCTGCCACCAATTCGCTGCAAGGCCGCCAAAAACGCGATAAAATTAGTACACCAACTCCTGTTGCACGTGTATAAAGTTAAATTGCGATGTTTCAAACTCACCCTCCGAGCGCCCCAAGGCAGAGTTTCACTTTCACTTTGTACTGGACGATAATTCCAAGATTCTCGCGTTGCGATGGATCCACCACGCTACACGAAACAGTCCGATTATCAACGTGTCGTCCGACACCTCCTCCTTAACATCTATCTTTCCAAGCCCGGGGCATGCACATTGTTACTGGTTGAGCGATTTAATTTTGCGCCAAGAAAACACACACATATCGTAGTAAGTAAAAAAGACATCAAAGGAACAGAGAAACTGAACTGGATGTTTATTATAGACACACGTTAGGCAGAGTGTAAGATTACAGATAGCAGTCCAGAGGGGGCGAGTGGGAGAGAAGCGTTTCGTGTGTACATATAGTATCTAAGATTGCGGAGGAAGATTTCGAAGCGTACCACAGAGCACAGCACACGCACTCACGCACACGCACACGCACACACACACACACACACACACACACACACACACACACACAGACGGAATCATGCAGTTTTGCGACGCAATAAATACACATACACGTATATTACAAAAGCGGCGTAGAAGAAGAAGAAGAAGCGGAGGGGTAGGATATCGATTCTGTCCAAGCTCACACGCTTTGGAATTTGGACGATTTGATGTTCCCTCGAATGACGAGTTCAGGCGTATATGGGGGAGCATCGAATATACTCGGTAATAAACGAAATGCAAAGAAACTCCCGAAAGAAAGAAGAAAAAAAATGTACAAAAATGTTCGTCGAATCGAACTTAAAGCTAACGTGGGAATTCAAACTGAAAATATTTCACGAGCCATTCAAAATTGACAATCCCCTCTCGCCTTTGCTCATCAAACGTCCGTATATCTCGTTTGTTTCTCGTCATATCTCTCCACGGATTAACAGCGTTCAAGGGTTTTTTTCTCAGCAGTGTGGACGAAGCAGAACTGATTCCGTTAACGCAAAACTCTCTCTACCGGTCGGAAACGAACAAAAAAAGAAGTAAAAGAAAAATATTCCACGAATCTAAGGTGGTCGGTGAACCAACACGAGACGAGCACACATCATCCTCAGAGCGTAGTGTAGAAAGAGAAATCGTGAGATCAGATATCAAAGAGTACGGCAACTAGTGTTTTCTATGAAGCAGCCAACGTTTCTATGCCTAAATTATTCGTTCTGTAACAACGTCTCCTACTAAACGTGCCAGGTCCGCTACTACGTCTCAGCCATCTCTCAAGAAAAGGAAACGATTTTGAAAACAAGAACGTGTACGTAGGTTACAGAAAAGCACGACGCCACGATAGAATAGCGGCCGGGTGGGTCTTTACCACTTCTCTTGCCTGTCGTACAACGCGCAGAATTATGGTCGTGTCGTTATCGCGAAAATTGGCACCACGATTATATTCACGTAATTGTTCTCTGTATCTTTATTGCTTCATCAGAAACAAGAATCCGTACTTGTGTCTCACGTCGATGATTTTTTTTGTTTTTGCCCTCGCGATTCCGCGGTTCGTTCGATTGTGTCCCCCGTTTTTCGAGTGGCACGAAAACCCATTCACGGTGTTGAACATGTTCGAAAGCAAATGTCGCAGACTTGTATATACCCATGAGTCCAGGTGAAACAAACCTTGATCGTTGATTTAGCAAAACGAACGAAGAAGTGATTCGCAATTTTTCATCGTGAAAACGAAAGCGAAATTCACGCTTCAACGATCTGGGAAAAAAATTGAATGTAATTTTACATACGTTGTCGTTTCGCTGGCTACCCGCGTTAATTTTCCACTCCGTTTTTGTGGAATCGTTCGAATCAACGCTGTACCATAATTCTACGAGTGCCTTGGAAGGAAGAACCAGGACTGGGCGAGGCGGGCGGAGCATTCGGAACGAAGACAAGAGAGTGCACAACGTGATCGAATCAACCCGGTAAATCGAAAGGAGAAAGAAAAAACGAAGGCAATTGTTCGTTTCTGATCTGAATATAGCCCTCTCCGCAGGCGGAAGAACCAGGCGGAAAGCGAGCGAGCAGATCCTCGCTATTTTCGATCGAGATTGTATATGCACACCGTCTGTGAAACAATCGTGTTTTCGGGAGCGATTTCCAAGGCTTCGCCCAGTTCACGAACGCGTCGCGGGTCGCGGACAGTTTCTTTCGTTTGGCCATGATAAAATCGGGGTCTCGGCGGGGCTTATTTACGTAAGATTTACGTTACGTGGAAGCGTGCGTGTGATCGAAAAAAGTTTGATTCCCCCTTTACCTCCTAGAATATAGATAATCGAGACTACTGCTGTCGAGATTCCGATTCGACCGTAATACGTATTACACACTTTCTTCAGTGTTCAAATCGTGTCTGTTATCTGTCAGCGCTGTCAGGATCTGATTACCGTCGGTTGTCTTCTCCGAGACACCGATAGAGAGCTAATCCACGAACGTGAAGTTGGTTTACGAAGTAACAGACACGGTTCGTGGACAAGTGGGAAAGCTTGAGCCTCGAGGTAATCGTTTCAGGGAGAGGGCCGAGATTCAAAGGGAAGCCTGCAAAGTGACAGCGTCGAAGCTACCGTTTATGTCTCTAGGATTCTAAAGATTCGATCGTACAGAGTCTTTTCACACGGGCTTTTAACATTAAGAGGTTCGAAAAGCAACGGCGGGCCGCGCGCCCGTTTAACTCTGTTCGTATTCAGCGAGTTTCAAGTCTCGTCTAAATAAATAACAGGAACCAACGTGTGTACCATGTGTTCCGGCAACAAGCAGGCGTCAAAAAGCGGATCGATGATAATATCGGTGTGTGTGGGTGTGTTAGCCTTGGCGAGCTACAGGCTACAGGTCCCTTGGCACACACACACACACGCACACACGCACACACACACACACACACACTCGTGATCGCAATTTTCGGGCACACGCAGCTTCGGCGGAACGAGAAATCATGATTCCACGCGATATCAGCCCGCGTAACGCTCGTCTAAATAGAAAAAGAGATAGAAAGAGATAGAGGGAGAGATAGAGAGCAGGAAGAGAGAAATAGAAACAGAGGCACGTACACAACAGTGCCGGTCGAAGTTTCGGGTACAGCGTTTGGCGTCAACGACTATCTCGATCACATCCGATTTCCGGAGTGAATTAAACTGGAGCAACCCTGGACACGCTTGCGCACGCGTACGGACGCTTTAATTAAATAGTTTATCTCAAAGTATCCAGCGTGTGTATACACCAACGATCGAACGCAACAGGAAGAAACATACAAGAGGAGTGTATGTGTGTGTATGTTCCAAGTGTAATCGATTCTTACAGATTAGGTAATTTTGGTTTAAATCGTATAAAAGATTTCGCAGGAAACCTGAACTGAATGTGTATTTATTTACATGGTTCTATATCGTCTGTCGAAAGGGATTCGAAATGTATCTTCGGGAGTGTGATAGAGTAGATACCGTGTACCCAAAGGTTCGATCGACAGGGGTGTCAATATATATATGTATATGTATATCCAGACGCGTGTGTGTGTATGTATGTATATATATATACATATTGTTTGACTTCCATCGACAAGCGGACGGTTTTGTTTTTCCTTACAGGGTGCTGGACGCCAGATTGGTGTCCTCGTGTTTGAGCTGGCCGTCAAGGGCTAGGCCCCACTTATTTTTGTTGTTGGCGAGAAGCGGTGTCAGAGAGAACACTTTGCTCAGCGTGAAACCTGGCCCCACCGGGCACCCCTCCCTGGCAAACATGTAGGCACAAGGGTGTGTTGAAGGTAAACCGTGGTGCCACACACAGGGGGCCTAATACATCAGGATCTCGGAATTCCGGTTTTTATCCCCCAGCTCACCCGATCACCGGCCCGCCACCGACACACACACACACACACACACACACACACACACACACACACACACACACACACACACACACACAGACTCAAATTGCTTTTCACGGTCTTTCTCACGACTCACTATGACCATCGTCACCTTTCCGTTTTCTTTGTAACACACGGCTCTGGCGTCAAAGGGTTGTTCACTTTTCAAGTTTCCGTCACCGCGTGCTATGTCTGGCTCGCTCTATACACTGTCCACCCGCAAAATTCTCGATCGGCTACACACCGTTTCCGTCCCGCGCGCGATCCACGATAATTGCATTTGAAATTTAAATTTGGTCACCAGCCTGCGGCCACAGGCTGTCTACGTGGAAACTAGTCTCGAATTTTCTGCTTTGAACACGCGTTGCCCGACGAATTATTACGCCTCGGAGCGTATGTAACTGCGATTGCAACCCCAATAGACGCACAGATGTGATCTCTGAATCTCGATCGCATCTCGTCTTCCGAGTTCCGTACCGGGACAGAGCGATGATAAGCTACCGCGGCGGACACCGACAGTGACGATCGGTAAATACACCCACACATACGCGCGTGTCCCTCTGCGTGTATACACGAAACTTCAGCTTGTGCGTCACACTGCGATACAGAGACTACGGATAATACGGGGGGAATGAGGGTTGGAGGGGAGAAGGGACGGGAGATACAGTGGAAGAAACGGATGGACGAATCGAGGGCGGCGGTTTATCGATCAGCATATCAATCGTGGAAAGACACAGACGTTTGGAGATAATAGAAAAATAAAGAGGGGTTTCGGGGAGTGGATGGACCAGAACATGGACATGACCTTTATACAGGGGAAAAAATAGAAGGTAGAGAGACCACCACCGATGGAACTTCATATCCATAAAACGTCCCCAGCAAAAACACCATCAAGAAAAAACACTGGCATTCCCAATTTGCGGAACGGTGTTCCCATACAATATCGCACTTCCTCTCGGCAATGTGTCTCGCCGTACGAAGACTGCAAACGGGCTTCCATCGAGCGCGTGTCAAGAACCTCCCCCACTGTCGTAAAAATATAATGAAATAGTTTTCTCGCATGAAAAAACACAGCGCGTGTAATTGCACATGGTTTGTCTTACAGAGTTTCGTGAACTCTGTCAATAAAATCGGATAGAAAGATCGATAAAACAATCGAAATCTCGCGACTTACTTTATATAAACTATATAAAACATCGCCTGTTTCGGGCACGGCGATCATTTCCGTACCCAGGGCGAATCATTTGGCCCGTTTCCAGTCTTCGGTTTTCCGTGTTCGCCAAAAGAAAAAGAGGCTAGCCACGTTGGGCCAATGGGTTTTGGAGCACTCACATTGTGCTAGATGCTAGATTGGTGTCCTCGTGTTTAAGCTGACCGTCTAGAGCTAGACCTCGCTTGTCTTTGTTGTCGGCAAGCGTCGGCCTTAGAGAAAAGACCTTGCTCAGGGTGAATCCTGGCGATACCCCTATACTGCCAGTGCAATCATCTTATTTTCCGTTTTCGTCATGTCACAATATCCTTCTCGGTATTTATCGCGTTCTATTCATTGTACACTCAGCGTTAATATATACTAGTCGCTTCTTTCACGAGACGCAGGTGACCAAAGATGCGTACGTCGAATACGAAAACTATTAACCACGAAAGGGGTGGCGATACCGAGCGCGACGCCGAGACTGGAAAATTTATTACACCGCCTTTGGCGATTTACGTTTTCCCGCGTCGATAGATCTCGAAGGTGGGCGCCGGGTGCCTGGTTACGGTTGAGGATGGATCTATTGACTCGTAAATTTCCACCGACCCGGAAGATCTACAAAACATCCGTCCAAGGATATCTGAGCAATTTCGACTAGGGTGGCGAAACGACCCCGAACAAGCTTTCTATCAACCTCGTCGCTCGATAGAGCGTCGCAGTGTTCTCGAAGCGCGACGACAAAAATTCTCCATCGAATGAATTGGGTTAACCGTGATCAAGCACACAACAAGCCACGTTTCTTTCTCAAACGTGACAAACAGGGGAGGATGTTGTTCCGTCTCCGATATGACCGCGCCTGATGGTGGGAAATCGAATCTTTCGTCACGAAGGCCCGAATACGTTTTTTTTTTTTTTTTCGTTAGAGAAGATCCGAGAGCTGTACGGTCTTTTACGAGAGCGTTTGGCAGCAAACGAGTCGGCGCAGAAACGAGACGTTAAAGAAATCAGACTCAAGAAAGAGGAACACACAACAATGCAAACACCGCCCGCGTTTTCACAAGTCATCCTTAACATACCAGTGTAGCGAATTCGTTTGCTGTCGAACGTCTTGCAATGACCATATACATATATTTCGCGTGTGTCGATCGCGCTCGCGCGCGCGTCAAGTGTGTCTGAAAAGAATGATGACTTGAATGATACTCACTCGCTCTCCGCCTCGGCGACCGTGCACTTGTACTGGGCAGTGGAGAACAGACAGATATCCGCGAACTGTCTCACGGACACTTTGATCTTTTTAACAGTCCGGTTGCTATTGTTCGCTATGTGCACGTTCACGGCGATGTTCTCGCCGTGATGGTATAACTCCTTGTCGAGGGACGCCTCCAGGTACAACTTGTTCGGCGACATCACAAATTCTTTGCTAACCTCGACGGACGGCTGTTCCCCTTGTTTCGAGGGCGCGTACATAATCTTTCGTATCGCCAGCCTGACCAGATCCCTGAAACGACACCGCGATTCAGGATCACGTGAAAAAGAAAACCATATTGGCGAATAGATGGATACACTCTGCTGCGACCATCTTGGCTTTCTATCGAACGACACGGTCACTGTATACATAAATTACTATACATGGTGGTCTCGTTCCGATGGCGTTGTTTGTTACAAATGTTGTTTCTTCTCTCGAAGTTTTCAAGCTCATCGATGTTTTTCTCCAAATAACTACAGGTCATTTGAAGGTCATATTTTTTCAACGCATACAGGATACCGACCACTTAATACCATTTGAATTACGTGTAAAGAACGAGACACCCTCTGTATATGTATACATACAATTCTCTAACACGAGATAAATCTTTCAGAAACATTCGCGCGTTCCATATTCGAACTTCGTCTCGTTCAAAGAAGCCCATACAGTACGCATCGAAAATCGTTAAATCGTTCGAGAAATCAGAGGACGGGGGTTAGTCGCAGACGACGTGTGTGGTCATCCTGAAAGATTAAGGGCGATAATCGGTGTTCTCGTACCGTTTATGCGGTTTCTCGTCCTGTGTCTCGCCTACGAACGCTTTGAATTCGTAGTCGACGCCGCACGGTTTCCCGGTATCCCCGGGGGCGGGCTGTAGCGTCACCGACGCGGGACAATGGGGCGGCAGCTCGAAGTAGAACGGGTACGCGTTGTTGCCCAGTTTCCTGATCAGTCTCTCCTGTAACCGTGTCAGTTCCCTTTGCTGGGAGCCAGGCACCACCGGGTAAATCTGATCGGCGGCGAGGTACAAATCCTTGCTGAACGACAGCCCGAGAACGTCCAGGTCCTCCCGTCCATATTTGAACACGGCCAGAACGTGGCCGAAGACCTTACGATCCTTCACGTAGTCCGGGTCAATCAGCACGACCCCGTCTGGAACGATTGAACAGCGATCGGTGAAGAAAGACAGACAGACAGAGAGAGAGAGAGAGAGAGAGAGAGAGAGAGAGAGAG